CATATTTCATATAAAGTTTTCCAGACAGATATTTGAAATAAAATAATGTAATATATTTTAATAAGAGAAATATCATATTTGAAGGGATTTATAAAGCTAAAAGTCTTTGCATCTCAAAGATGCAAATCTAAAATATATAAATAGAACAAATTGCTGAGGCTTTTGTTGAGTTTAGCTGATATGAATTACGCCGCTGATATGAATTACAAATTACAGGGTATCACCACATCAGCTGCCACTGCCACACGCTGCAGCTGTAGGCGTCCAATGAAGCTGCAACTGTTGCTGTTGTTGCTCTTGCTGTTGCTCTTGCTATCTAGAACAGAATATTTCACGAGACATTTTCCGTGGGCTGCTGCAGCATTTAGCGGCTCCAACACACACTCACAAACACACACACACACATGTGCACAATCGCACAACAAATTGCCTTTTGTTGCTGTTGGCCTAAAACTTAATTAGCCGCATTTGCTGCTTTGATTTACTGCTTTCAGCCATTTGTAAGACTTGAAATATTTCTACCCAAAAAAACAAAAAACAAAGCAAAAAGTATTTGGAGCTTGAGAACTTTTGCGTTGGCCGCCTCGTTGATGACATAAGTTAGCTGATCTGCGATCTTAAAGCAGATACTTAACACTCGCAGCTGTTAGACTAGAGACAGTTTAGTCCACGACGAACTTGAATCATATTTTGAGTAGCATCGAAGTAACATTCGATTGAATCGATTAATGACTACGTCAAAACAATTTAGCTGAATGATCTTGAGAGAGAGTGTATGTGTGTGTGTGTGTGAGAGAGAGAGAGAAAATGAGCGAGCGAGAGCACGAGTAAGCTGCTAATCAATTTGATTGGTCAGCTGAGATGATCAGAGCTGAGCTGATCATTTATAATTAAGTTATTATCGATAAGTGCGATTAGAAGGTGAACTTCACTTGGGTTCATGTTTCAGTTAGGCAATTACACGAAACTTTTTTGCATAATATATAAATATCACTTAGCTAGGTCTATGGGAAAGTCAATTTTAAATCTAGAAATGACAATGAGAATTCAAACTAATATTGACATTAATACTTAAAAAATATGAAATATTTTCATACACCAAATTAAATGTTATATAATATAAAATAATTCATATAAAGAAATAACAAGCTTATAAATATAATATCTAATATATTTTATTCAAAATGGAAACACTCTATTACAAAATGCGTCTGCATCTTGAGCTCCCTTAAATGAAAGCAGCAAATATTTTAACGCCTTTTCCCGGCAATTTTCAATTAGCGAAAAGACGCGGCATGGAAACCTCTTCAAATGGAATTGCATATCGATGTGTTTATAATTTGTGGCTAACGTGCAAAAGTGGTTGACAATTATGGCCAACGCTCTGGCCAGCCGACTGCATCATCATTAAAGAGAGAGAGAAAAAAAACGGATGCCCAAAGCAGATGATGATGGGGAGCGAAAGAAAAAAAAACCAATTAAAGAGTAACAAAGTTTAAGCGGACCGACAGCAGAGCCAACGACGACGGCGACGACGACAACGAGAGCAATGAAGCAAACAGTTCAAAAAACGGCCAGTGAAGGTACAACAACAACAACAACAACAAACAACCAACAACGTCGCATGTTGCAAAGAAAAGTGAAATCAAAGTTGTAAAACCGCGAAAAACGCAGTCAGGCAGACAAACAGACAGCGACACATAACAGCAACAACAACAACAACAGCTAACTGGCAACGCTCCAGATTGGAAAATGTCCAGTGGAAGATGTCGACAGGCAACAACAGCCACAGCAACAGCAGCAACTGCAATGTTGCCTATCTTGGTAGCAGCATAGCTCAAGTTGATGCCAAGCCAGCATAATCAGCCCCCACAAAGCCGTTGACAATACTCGGACGAAGAGATTAGCTTGGTCATGCTCAAAATGGATCACACCGTACCCATCATCAAAGCCAGCTTACAGCAGCCGCACCACCTCTCCCTCCCAGCCACCAGCCCCGGGCATCAAGAGCGGCAGCAGCCTTATGATTATGTATATACCCTCAAACAGGTAGTTGAAGAGGAGTATCATATTTACTGGCATAGCTGAGCTGGAGCTGAGAAAGTGACAGACGGCAAGTGATGGAATGTGTTTGGCTTTACAGCATAGATCGGATGTATTTATATGTTATTAAATCTCCTAAGTATATATATAGCAGAAGTCCTTTAGGTGTAAGGACTCCATCTCGCAACTACTTTTAGCTCAAGGATAAATTGCTTCCTGAAATTCCACTAAACAAAATGATTGATCCTCAGAGTCTAAAGAAGAAAGCTCTTCATCGATTTTTAACTTCCATTTCTGTGTGAGCAAACGACCTTTCAATCTACTTTGAGCGCCTATCCCAAAAATAAATAAAAAGTACATTCTGTTCCATAAGACATTGTGGTATTTATCATAATTTGTTCTTATAGCAGCCAGAAATTATAAATATTATAGCCTTTTCCATCTGATAGTAAGAGTAAGAGTGTAAGCAAGAGTAAGAATCCCTAAATCGGGTATATCTCTAGTCGTATTTACTTTTTTTACGTAATCTTCAACCAGCTGGATACATGCTACATGTTCTTGTAATTATCTAGAAGTTAATCTATACAAATCAATTCTCTTTTCAGTGCATTTCATTACAAGTTATCAGCAGTCAGGCAAAGCAGTATCCCTTGCTTCATTTTCCGCCATTCTTCCTCCATTCCTTCTAGTAGCAGTT